TATCTTATCTTATCTTATCTTTATATACTTCTATGGTTAAATTAGACTAAGTAGATTATATTAAATATAGTCTTAAATAATAAAAAGGATATTTGAAAATTGCAGACATTTTTTCTATCTTAATGAGACTGTTGTATTGTAAATTCAGTTTATGTTTTATAATGCATTATTTGCTGTTTCGAGTATTTTATTGTTAGGTTTATTAAAATCCATTTTTTATACTTAAAAACATTTAAATGATTTATTCTCAACGCAACTAGTTTTATTTTTCACGGTAAAAACATTAACTTAAATAGAAAAGCATAATAAATGAATTCCGTACGTCATGCGGAACCATTATTCCGTCGTTTTTTTACCGACGTATTTAACCGTGACACCAGAAAAGTGAATTCGCTTCGGTCGGCAGTTCCCGTTAATCTTTTCAAAATAAAACAGTTAAAAATGTTCAATATTTAGTCATTTGTAACTAACTGTACTTTAGATTTTAAACAGGTTCATAGAAGAAAATAAATCAATATTCAAGAACAAAATTTAAATAACAATTTCTTGTTTTTTGACACATTTCTTGAGAAATGCTGCGAAACGCTTACTTCCGGTAGAGTAGCTAGCTTGTCTCCCACGCTGTCAGCACGGCCTGCTCAGAAACACACTGCGGGTCAATTAATTCACTTATTTATTTAGAGACAGAAACATGGTGGGAAAGATCAAACACGTCCGACAGAAGCTTCACCAGGAGGCCGTGAAGCTCGGGCGGCCTGAAGACGCCTCCCAGCCCGGCTCCGCGGCCAGGCTGAAGCCCCCGGCTCTGGAGCTGCAGAGGAAAACACCGGAAGAAAAGGTCGCCGAGGCTCCGAAACAGGTCAGTTTGATGAGATTTAAACATGTTGAGGGGTTTTAATGGTGCTGCTGGCTACAAACACAACACAGATTTGTAATAACGTAAGCTAAAGGGAACAAAAAACACATTTTGATGTATGAAGAGTAAAAGACACGCTGGTTATGGTCACCATAGTAACTGCATCTGTCAGCCAATTCATAAAAAGCAGGCAGAAATGAACTAAAGAGTAAGCCTCAAACCCACTGGCAGATCCAGAGCTGGTGTTCTTTTTGGGCCTTTAGGTTTCAGCAGGGGGCCTGGGTTTATTGTTATGGAACATGCTTACTTTTCTCACATATATCAACATAAATTTAATTAAATATTTCTGTTACAACACAGGATGTTTGGTTTAGAGAATAGACCACTTCAGAGTTTCTTGTGGGCCTGGCTTTGTGGGTAGGGAACAGATGTTTGTCAGTAAAAACAAACCATCACTAAAACTTGATGGATGGGATGTGTTTTTTCTTCTATCTGATGCTTTTTGCAAATGATGGCAGAGAAATCACTGGATTAAGTGAAATGTTGGAGTCAAAGCATGGTAGGACTTATTAAGCGCAAGAGGTCCATCAGAAGTAGGGCTGCCACGATTAATCGACGACTAAATGATTATTAAAATAATCGATGACTAATTTAATAATCGATTAATCGTTTTCTTTTTTTGTTCTTTACTTTGTTTTTCTCTCCAAACTGT